CCCCCCGATTGTCAAAGGCATTTGGAAGTGAAGGCAGAGATTGAGACGTATTACACTGTAGACTTGTGTGGCATCTGTTGGTACTTAGAAGCTTGAAGCAATGCGCTTAGGTTATCACTATCTTCCCCACACACACACACAAACCCCTCCAGTGTTTATAAGTCATCTTAGCAACACTGGATGAATGGTGCCTTTCATTATTAATATTTTCCTTCAGTGTGCTGGCTTTTATTTGCTGACCAAATCGCCCCAAGCAGTTTTAAGAGACGATGTATGAAAAGCTCCAATGATCTAGTTTTTTAAAAAAAAAAAATGACATCAAAGGCGAACATCTATCTCCAAGTTAAACGTTTGCATCTCTGGCAATTTTTTAAAAAGCTGATGAAAGGTGAAAGTCTTTGACATTTCAAGTCACTCTAAGAAACATCAGGGAAAAGGTCCTTTTGTTTTCCAGGGGAAGGAGATCCTGTTTTGAGAGAGAGAGAGATCCTTCTCCGCAAGGTCATCGCACTCATTATGATTTTTTATTTTTTAAAGGGGCACACTGCTTAGCGCGGTGACTTCCGATATGCGGCTTGTCTTGCTGGGATCGATTTCCCCCCTTTTTCACTGGGAGCGCGCGACTGGTGCCCGGGCAGTATTATTCTAAGGAACGGAGATTGGTATTCTGGCGTATCTGTGTGGCGTGTGCGTTGAGTGTGCGAGAGATTTCCCTGCTTGGGCGAGGAGGGAGCGCATGGGAACTCTTCCTCACTACACTCGCCACTGCTGTGGTGGGAATTAAAAACAACCCTGCTTGAATAGGACCGGAGTGGAGAGAGTGTGCGTGCGTGTGTGAGGGAGACAGCAACAACAACATGATCACGACACGCCAGGCAGCGTGTGAGCCGTACCGAGAAAGGAGGGTGTGTATGTGTGTGTGTGCGTTTTAAAGAGGTGACTGAATCCGAAGCCAGATCAAAACAATGGAGAAAGCAGGTTGCGGGAGATACGAAAAGGGACGCGCGCGGGAAGCGAGGCGTTCTACTCAGCGACGACTCAGCCAATCAAGGCGCGCTCTGCCGTGTCTTCCGAAGGTCCGGGGGGGGGGCAAAAAAAATGAGCCGACCGCTCTGCTCTCTGCAGTGTCCCACCCGATTAAGACTGCGGGTCTAGGCGCTCTTACTTGGAAGTAAGCCCCCTGAGAATGCCAAAGAACTTACTCCTGCGAAGATGTGTCTTGAAACCCTTGTCTTCGTTCCAAATAGGAATTGTGGGCAATATTGATGCGTGGAAGGTGTTCTTTTTAAACAGACCTCAACAGGGGCACCTCACAGTCTTTAGGGAATTTGGAGAAGCGTGCCACCCCCACCCCCCAGCAAGGCTTCCATTACCCGAAAAGCAATTTGTTTTGAAGATCACACACTAAGCCAATGAATTGGTTTAGAAAACCACAAATTAAGTTGGCTTTACTAAGCTAGGTGTCATGGCCAAGGCAGGATGCAAAGAATATAGGGTCAGAGGAAAGTAAAGGAGTGTGGGAAGAAAGGTGTGGTGCTGACCTGTTGGGAAAAGGCCACACACCACTGGAGCATTTGGGTGCCAGTGCAGAGACCAACTTCTGACAGGAGGGTTCACAGTGCAGTTAATCCAAAGTCGAAATGTAAGCAAATTAACTCTTTGCTGTCAGTCAGTGCCCTTACAGTTCTAGTGGTTATGCCAATAAAGGTCTGTGTATATGTATGTACAGTTCTAGTGTTCTCCCCTTGCCCTAAGCAAAAACAAAACAAAAACGCAGTCTCACGCTCCAGGTATTCATTTGCTGCATTACACTGTCCAGACGATACTTTCTCTTGCTATGCTTGTTGTTGGCATTCTGGATGATGGTGTTTTAGTCCCACATTAACCTTGAGCAACCTCTGCAAACCCACTGCAAGCTTTTGCTATAGTTGACTATCTACACAGACTACTACAGCAAACCCTGATCTCCCTCTCAGATCCTTTTCACAGTGCACGGTGTGTCCCTTCCAGCTTTATGTCTGGACAAATCAAATTTCCTACTTTTCCTCTTTTTTTTGGCCGTCTTTGTGTACAGCACCCAGCAACACCCTTGCTGGGAGATCCCCTGCTCCTACTGAATCCCCTGATGTCTTTTACTGGAAGCAGCTGGCAGTCAGGAGCCTTCATCCAGCAGAATCCATATCTGTCCCCCCCCCCCATGCATTCTTATTTGGTACACAGTAGGCATTGCTCTCCTGTAAATTGCACTGCACTGTTTCTCTAGATAATGAACTGCATGGTGCAAGGCAAGTGACAGGAGATAATGATTCTCTGTGATTTTCAAATCCCGCCAGGACATCCCACCAAATGAGCAGACTGATGGACAGAAGGTGGCAGAAAATGCACAACCGTTAACCTTATGTAACTGCATTAAAGGTAGCTGCAGGAGGGACCAGACCTGAAGATAAAAGGGGGGTGGGAGGGAAGAGATGAACCGGCAGGTTGTGGTGTTCTGCGAGATGTGAGAGCCTCAGTGTTTGAAATAAAACGGGCAAGTAAAAAACAATCCCTATCCTTTGGGTTCATTTTGAATGCATTTTGGTTCACTCTCTACCCAAGAACACCAAGGCTGTTGCAAAGCCAGTTGACCATAGTACTTTCTATGCAGTTGACCTTGTTGACCTTGTTGTTTGTTTGTTTTATAATTGATGCCTGGCTTCTCTTAAGAGCATACTCATTCAAGCATCAGTTATTCTGTTGGAGTTTCTGTCCTCCCTTTCCAGCAGAGAGAAAGCATTTAGATTGTCTGTATCCTTCTACCCCTTAGGGACAAGTAATGCAAAGCAGTTGCATTGGGGCTTTATTCCAAAGAGGATGCCTCCAATCTTTATCTCGTTGTGTGTGTTGTTGTTGTTGTTGTTTTAAGCAAGCAAACAAGACTACCCTGAGGATGAAGGGAGAGAAAGTGTCATTCTGACTCTTCATTTCAGATGTGAAATGGCTGAAACTGGGCACTGTCTAGAGATGACACCTCTGCAGAATTCCGGGGATACAGAACATAGTCTTTTTTCCATATTTGTTTTATTTGGACTGCCCAAGTCTTCTGGTCACCACAGCAGCAGCCATGGAGTGCTCTGTTCTTTCAGCAGTCACTGCAGAGCAATGGTGTGGGAACACACCAGCTGCATCTGGCTACTGCTGCACTCAGGGGTAGACTCCCTCTGCGGTACTGGTGGAAAAAATAATCCCCCTTCTCTTGAGGTAGTGCAGTTTGCTGGACACATGCCATGCATCTTCATCCAAACCAGCATGTTTTCCTAGTCTGTCACATTAAAGAGGAAATCGGGTCACCAAGAATTCCACTGTTTTACATGGATGATACAATCAGGGAGGTTATACAAGTACCTAATTCTGTCCCATCAACTCTTTTGCCAGTCTAGGGAGGGGACAGGGAGGACTTGTCCATTATTCTTCAAATGCTTTTTCACAGGGCCACTTAGGAGAAGGTAATCAGTGAACCACGCATGTACTTTTTAAACATGGTATGTATTGGAACAGTAAGACAGAGACACTTTTTTGTGCTAATTTCATTAGGCAAAACAGTAGCATTTGATTATAGATATTCTTTGGAGACGGATGAGCATAAGTTATTCACGAGGCTGGTGTTATTAAGCTCTTTCGAGAGACTTCATGGTTTTTTCCTGCCATAAAGGAATGTGCAGCGAAAATAGCATTAATGTGTTACACAGAAGAGCATTATGTTGTGACATCTTCATAACAGAAAGTAATCTAAAAGGTGAGAAGCTAGGGCTTCGTTGTGATCGGGCATCAAAATTTTATATTGTTTAGTAGCACAGTCAGTTCCCATCTGTGCCTAGCTCATGAGTTACATAACAGCCTTTACCATCTTAACACTTTGACGTGGAGGGTGTGTTTCTAAAAGATGAAGTAACTTTTGCAGTAAGCTGCTTTTACTTATTAAATAAGAAGTATAACTGGAATAAGATTTTGTTGGATATTTATCATGTCTAACCAACATTCTTATTGCAGCTGTCATTGGCGAGGTTAAAAAATGAGCAAGAGTCTTTTTACTTAATTAAGCAGATTTCCTATAAGGCCTGATGCTGATTCAAGGGACTGTGACAATAGGAAGTCTGTAAATATGACCACCAGATAGATTTCTAGACCTTTTCCAAATAGCCCATTATAGCATATAAAGATTTATACAGTGCAATCCTATGCAGAGTTACTCCAGTCCATTCGTTTCAGTAGGCTCTCTGCATAGGCTTGGTACTGATAATATGCTCTGACCTCTCTAAAAACCTGTGGTCTGTGAATTGCTACACTTAAAAGGGATGGATTGGGGGGGGGGGTGTTAGTAAGTAAATATTTAACTGGGATGTATGCAGTTGCAACGTCCCCCTTCCCATATACTTTAAGAGAAAAAAATATATTTTTCCTATTAAAGGAAGCATCAAATTGTTGAAAGACTATCAGAACATTTGGATGGTTTTAGTGGCACATTGCTTAAAGAGTTAAAACATTTTCTAATGCAAGAAATGGGTTAAGAATTCTGAATTAAATCCTTTCTCACAATGGTCAGCATTTTGTCTGCTGGAGTGTTGCATAATCTCACTGCT